GTTGACAGAAGACCTAAAAGGCATTCAATTGCCACTGCTAATGTTTCACACAAAGTCGAATGACATTTAGATACAAAAGCAGTATGCCTTTGTTTTAGATTTGCTGCTGCGTTCCGAATGATAACCTTTGTCTTGAAGAAGACCCATTTAAATTCTAAATATCCTTGACAATTGCCTCTCCCTTTATGTAGCTTTAGGTGAAAAAAATTTTCCAGCAACATGGAAAATGAGGGTTTTTTAGTTTTGTAACATGAGTAAGCATTCCCTTGACACTTAGTTGTGTATCTTTTGCTGCATTTTAGTATCTAAAGTACTGTCTTAAAGGTAAAAATCTTATGTTAGCCATGTTTCAAAATCTTAAATTACTGTATTATCTGAAGTATTGATTTGTAAAGATCAGTGCAAATACATTTATTTTAGCTTCCTTGAGATGTTACAGTAAAATCTTCCCAAAGCTAGCAGAGAACTTAAGCTTTTTGAAGTGATGGTAGAATCGGCAGTGATTTCTGTGCAAAGCTAAAACTGATATGAAATGCAAATGCTGATTTTCAGGGGGATTTGGGTTTTGTTTTGTTTATTATTTAAATTTCCACTTAAAGCTGTTATACTAAAAAAAAGGTAAATAAATTGAGCAGCTAATGCACATAGAAATGCTATTGTTGCATTTACTTGCAATATGGGGGTTCCCCCCCAAGGTCCTACATGTAAGTGTGTTTCTTGAATAGATTTTATCTGGTATTCTGGATGCATAGTGAATCGATGGCTTATTGCAAACACAATTTTCTGTTTACTTCTAATTATATGATATTTGTTGCATTGTATGATGTCATTTGAGGCATAAATACTTATTACCGTTCTTATTTTTGCTTAATCTTACATTGCTTAGCTGCTTACCTACAATTATTTTCCAAAACTGTGTATAACTGTTCAGTTTCTCCAAAGGTGAACCACAAAGAAAGATTAATAGCATCAATGACTATAATTTATTCCTTGAGTAGTAATAAGTACATGGAGTACTTTCCAGCCACGTGTGTTCATTGTTTCAGCTGATGTGATTTATATAGTGAAATATGAGTCTGGCTCCTGTAATTGAATGCTACATCTTGGGCTGCAGGACAATAAATGAGATTTTAAGCTGTATTACGTTTCTGAAGGTAGAATATACAGTTGTTAAAATGGGAGGGTTTTAGCATTTAGCTTCAGAAAAGACGTTATTTCAAAAGTAAACCTTTTCTGATTAAACAAAAAGTAGACTAACGTATGTTGGCAGTGTTTGTTATCATCAAATCTAATTAAATTATAATCCTTGTTTAAAATGATTCATATAATTGAGAGCTTATGATGTTTGCATTGGTGTCTGTTTTCCAAATAAGGGTTTTGAAAATGCATTCGTAGTATCTTTTAAAGAATTAAATAAAAGTCTTCCAATGGAAGTAAAACCACTAGTCTTATTTTACATTTACATAGGATTTTATATTCTGTTCCCATTTTTCAGTTTGATAGTGTTTTTAAACATAAAGTAATTGTCTTTGGGGAAGAGCTGTAGTGGGTGGGGTAGATACAATTTCTGTATTATACAAAATAGTAAGTAGAATTTATGGGGTTATTAAAGCCTCAGTTTGGCAAACTGCCGTATAGTTGCATCATCCTGTAATCATTATCTTTTTCTGGCTCCTGACCTTATTCTAAGAAAGACCATGCTTTTAGTTATCCTTTCGCTCTTAACTTATAATTTGATTTTCTTATTAGATTATTAACAGGAAAAAAGGCTCTAAGTTTCATATTAAAAATGAATATTCTACAGTCTTCTTGCAGCCCCAGCAAATGATTCTTCAAATAATCAATATAGATACTTCAATGTTTGCTAGATGTTCAGTACTTGCTGTTTATAACAAAGGGCTGTTACTAGATTAATACCCATAGTATTGCACACTTACACCACTTTTTTCTCCTATTCTTAATATATATTTTTTTAAACAATCATTTTATTCAGCCTTTTGTCAGAATAAATGCTTTGACTCTGCCCTGCTGAATGATATTGCGCAGAGAAGGCAGTGGCAAGGACTTTGTTGTTTTTGACAGCACCGCTAAAAGCATGAAATGTTTCTGAAGGATTGGCAGAGCCTTGTAATAAGGGCTGCAGGAAATGACTGTATTGGGTGTGGAAGAGAGACACTGTCCAGATTTAACACACGAGCTACCGGAGTACTTGAAAACAGAGGACAGGAAATGGTATCATAGGATAGACTAAAATGCTGTACAGAACTTCATTGTTTATACAAAGTGTTATTGTTCTGAAGTTCAAATTCAACTCAGAACACTGCAGCTTTGGCATATAAAAGGTAACGCTGACAACCTAGTGAGTAATAAAATGCTATTTATTATTAGATTAAAGCCCAGACTTTTTTATAACAGTGAGTTCTTTAAATGTTCTGGTGTTTTTGATGAAAATTGAAGATACCATAACAATTTTTAGATATAATTTGGTGAAAAATACACTATTTTCTAATAATTTTTCTTCCTCACATCTGTTTCCAAATCCACTCAATTTTTACTCTGTCCATTGTGCACAACTTGTCTTGCAATCTGATGCTATGTAGGCTGTTTGTAACTAATGTTTATACTCATTTATAACGGAAAGGTATTGATACGTAACTGTATTTAACAAAACTATGATTCTATGAAAACTGTCTCACAGTTTCAGGAACCTTAGGGTATCACAGAACTTAATTTATCTTTTTTTTGGTTGATTGGTTTTTATGTGTGACCTGTGGCTACTTTTCACCTAGCAGTCAAAAGTATGTTTAGCTCTAGTATTCTCTGCTCCAGCCACTTCAACTAAATTTTAGCTCTAACCTAGAAGGGTCCCAATAACTTCTGCTGTGTTCTGCTGAAGAACGTAGATGCTTTAATCACAAAATGAGTTTTTGCTGTGATTTTTAATATAGAAGGAAGAATGCTGACATAAAAAGCTTTTTCTTCTTTCTGCCATCTGTGTTCCTTGTTCCCCCCCCATAACTTCCGAGTTAAATGGTAGAGTTATCAGAAAACATATTCCCATACCTCCCATACAAATGCTTCAGGAAAATACTAAATGAGAATAACTCCTCCTTGCTCTGTTAGCCTTGAAGAACTCAAGGGACATACCAGATCATCCTTGTATGGTCAGGCTTTTGGCACAGTAGGAAATCCACAAAGAAAGTAAATCCAGAATTTGAAATCCTGCTTTCAGAGTTGTGAATGTACTGCTCATCCATATGTGAACACGAATATTGTGGCTGCAAATTCAATTAGCAAGTTCTACCTACTTAGAATTTTTTTTTTAAATATTTAGCAATAACTGTTTCCAAAGACCTTTATAAATCTCAGTAGAATACCTTCAGATCAGCACAGGAGCTTTGTTATAACTCTTACATTATTCTTTGCTTTTTCCATTTCTAAATTGATAGAACAATATGTAGGGTTCTGTTTATGGTGGACAGGGAAAAGGAGAGGACTGCATTTGGCAGTTCCCCCACTATGTAACAAGGATAGGTAGTAAAAGAGGAGGCTCCCTCATAAATGTCCTGTTGAATTCACACCTTGATTCTCACCATAGACAAGCTAAGTGCCTTTCAGTACCAGTCACCTTCATGAAGTGTTGTGCCGTTACTGATACGTGTTACTGTTCTTTGTTCTTGTGAAGCTTTTAAAGGCATTAAAAATTTTGCCAAAGAAGGTAGAATGTGACACTGACAACTTTCTTATTTTAATTGCTCTTAGATTAATATGTGCTTAATGTAATAAATTGGGTTGGGCATAGGGGCCTATTCAAATAATAATAATGCAAAATTCATGCCAGTATGGCACTACAGGTTATGAGAAGAGAATTTCCCACACAGTGAAGAGCTTTGTGTAATAGACTTTTCCCTGAATTGTGACTATAAAGGCTGCTTTCAGAACTCCAATGTTAGTGTAAATATAATCTCACTATGAATTGTATTTATTTATATACACAAGTTCTGTAGTGTGAACTATAGGGTTCCCTGTTGTGAAATTCCCCTGGCTTAACAACTTTTTTCATTTGCAGCTGAATAAGGTGTGTGTATTTTGGGAATTATTGCTATAAATATGATAAAATCATTGGAATGTGGCTTGAATTTTTTTTCTGATAAATGTATTTTGGTTAATGTGATTGGTGCTTTTGTCAGTACAGGAAAATAGAATACTAGGCACCATTTTACTGTCTCGTTACTCTTTTCTGATCTGTTTTCAGTGCAAGCTAAGGCTTGAGCATATTCAGTTCTTGGAGGTTTCAGTGCTGAAGCGAAGACCTGTAAGCTTTGGCTTGTCTAATTCTACTGAGAATGAGCATTAGGAGTAAGGGGGAAGAGAGACCTGTGTAAAATAAATCAATGGGCATAAATGATGTGTATATCTGTGTCCAGAGCTTGGAATGAATTTGAAGGGAAAGGATTTGTTCCTCTCATTGTTGCTAAATATAATAATCAGACAGTATAGTGACTGAAATTAATTATATGAGCGAATAGATACTGGAGCCTAGCAGATCTTGAAGATATTTGAAGAATACTTTTTTAGAAATAGAGACTTTAAGAGCTGATTTTTATTCTCACAGGCAACAATTCAGTAAAGTTCATGTTCTGTTGGGGTGGGGATAAAGTGGGCTTGCGCAAAAGCATGCGCTTTTTTGCAAGCTCAGCCTGGAGGAACTTCAAAGGACAAAAAAAAAACCCCACAGCAGATGTTATTAAAAACAGTTCTTTGACAATGCGTTCTTCTCAGCGTTTAAGCTGCCACAGTGTGTCCTTGAGGTGATATTACCTTCGCATATTGATCTACTGTGAAAGTGGTTTTTGTTTGATTATTCAATGCTCTTGTGAGAAGTTTGTTATTGAAAGTTTTACAAAAGAAATATTTTGTAATTTGTACACATGCACCAAATTTTTGTATTGCTGCTACTTCTTTTCAGTCTTACAGTGTATTTGTTTTCTCTCTTTTAGGAAATGGGTTTGTGAATTCTCGAGCTTCTCCAAGTCTACTCGGAACTACTGGTGGTGGGAATGGCTTGGGCAAAGTCATGCCTACAAAGTCTCCACCTCCACCTGGAGGAGGTAATCTTGGAATGAACAATCGCAAACCAGACCTCCGTGTTGTCATCCCACCCTCCAGCAAGGGTATGATGCCACCATTGGTAAGTTAAAACATTTGTTCCCTAACGGGCTTTGTAAAAATGAAGTGTTGTGCCCACATGTGCAGGGAGAAACTGTGTCATCTGTAAACCATAGGTTACAGTAATAGAAAGGTGTTTGTATTCTGAATTTCACTAATGAAAATCTAAGTTACAAGTTGTTACCTAGGGCGAAGTTAAATTTGCAAGGAATTTCTTTTTTGAAAAAAAGTGTAAAATACCAGTCTGACCTAAATGTGGTTAGACTGCAATCCTAGAGACATAGTTTGGGATTTTGTTTTGATTTGACATCTCACTGACTTGGTACCAAGAACTTTGGTTTGGAGGATGTGGGTTTTAAAAAGGATTATGCTTTATTCTGTGGAGGAATGGCTGATCTTATTGGTGATGTCAACTGCATTAACGTGCCCCAAAGCGCACTTTGTATCCGTTTTTCCTGGGTGGTAATGGTTGTGGGATGTAAAATGTAGCTTCAGTAGTAACAATGATCTGAGCGAAATGCTTGTTTGATGTGGTGTGCTGGAATGCAACCTTGTGTGTCCTATGGTGGATGTCGTGTCATCAATGAAGACATAAAAGAGTAATGAGGATCAGGCACAGTCCCTATTTGTGTACTTTTCGATGCTACTGTGCAGTTTGGCATGTTGGTAGTAATGTTTGTTCAGCCTAGGTTTGGAATAGCACACAAGTTTCGTGTCAGGCATGAGGCAACCACAGCACTGAGGCGAGAACAGGTCTTTCAGGAAGAGTTACTCTATTTTTCCTTTAATTTGGTTGGCCTAATACTTAGTCTTTCACTGTCATGTAGAAATTTTAAACATCTATGTGTACATTTTCTGTTTCCTGTGTATGGAAGAATGAACCATAGCCAAGAGGAGCAGGATATAAACAATACAAGTACTCTCTGTATAATTCTTATTTGTTTTTAAGATACCATGAGTGCTTACATTTGTTACTGGTATTCATGATGAAATATATGAAATTAATCCAAGTAGCAAAAGATATAATTATCCTCAGAGTAATGATTCTTGAAGTTTAAGGTTTTTCTGGCAATACTGAAGTGTAGAATACATAGGAAGTACTCTGGTTAATTAGAAATGGTTACAAGAGGAGGATCTTGTTAAGGCCTTTGTTCTAATGTCAGTAGTGTACAGTATCTATTTAGGTTTTGTCTGTCTTATTGAGGCAATTGGAAAGAGATTTCAGAGTACAGATGCTGGGGTGATATGATGGTTGTATGTGAAGAATACTTTGTTACTGAGCTGGATGTTTATTGGATCAGTCCAGCCAGAAACTGCTGTGCATCTACATATGTTGTCAATGTGTAGCTATGTCCTTGTTTTTGCTAAGCTCCTTCTGCACTAATTTGGCCAAAGCATGTGTTCTTTCGGTATGGTATTTCTTAATTGACCTGAATTACGTAAAGTATTACACTTCCTAGTAGTGGTATTTACAGAATCAGGTGGCAAATTCACATTATTAGTTAAAACAATAAGAATCCTGAAGCACAAATGTGACTTTTTCTTTCGTTTTTGAAAGCAATGCTATTTTTAGTAACTGTGTTATCCCTCTTGTTTGCTGAGTACAGTCGGAGGAGGATGAATTGGAGTTGGTGAGTTTGGGCTACTGTTTGAGAGAGAGCAAGATGCTGAAAATTTCTTTTACTACAGTTTTTTAACTGTAGTTTCATTACATACTTTAAATAATTCCAGTGTTCCCTTGGTAGCAGACAAAAATACATTTGTTTTATCAAAGTCAAAACCTGACCAATTCAAGTTGAAAACACATCCAAAATCTAGTGCTTTCCATTTGTAAACAATTTTTTTTCCTGGAAATATTTGTTTTTCTTGGAGGGAACATTGGAAAAGAGCCTTACAGAGTAACTGTCCATGTGTATAGGATATTTACTGTCTTTTTTGTAAAATATAAATAACCCCTTATGCCCTAAATTATTGGAATATTTTTAGAAAGTGGCTTCACTTATGAAGTTCTTCAGATTGTAACACAAGCCCTGTATTACTTCTCTTATTTTCGAGGAGATTACATCATTGCTGGTGAGGTCACCTTTTTGGAGTTTAGAATTATTTCATCCTGCATGAGATTATCAAACCACAGGGGTGTTCCCTGTTTACCAAAAGGAATAGAGAATTGCAAATGAATAATTCTACCTTTTATTAGTGGAAAGATATTCTGCTTTTGAAAGGAAGCTCTTGGGATTTGTGTTTTCTCTGTTTTTTCCAAAAGGTTTTAACATTTGGCATTCTGTCTGGAAAATAACATAAGGCTAAAATAATTTGTAACTTATTTTTAGAGCAATTTGCAAATTGTTTAGCTGCTGTAGCACAAACCATGCAGAAGAAGCTGCATCAGAGTGCAATTATAAGGATACACAAAGAAGTCTTGTCTATCACATACCTTGATTTGTTTTTGAACATGGACCTGTTGCTAATATGAGGCTCTGATTGCATGAAAGCATGGAAAATGTAGTGATTTAGATAAATTTATTGATGAATGCATGCTCTTGGTCGATTTTTTTTTTTTTTAACCTTAAACATGAGCAATAGATTTACAGAAGTAAGGGGAAATGATTTTTGAAAGTCAGTATTTAAATTTTTAAGGTTTATTGGAATGACTTGCTGTTATAAACAGCTGTCATGCACCTTCTCACCTTTATAGAGGAGTGTCTGGTTTCCAGTGCAAGAAATAGAGCTTTAATTCAATGTGAAAACACTTAATCAAAATAGCATTGCAATTGAAATTATGGAAAAGCACTTGAGTTAAGGTATTCCTACCTGCTAAAAATTGCTGTGCTCTTTGCAGCGTGAAACAGTGCGACTTGCTGAAGGCGGGTGGATTTACAGATACTGTGTGGAGCGTGGGCCCTCTAGTGGAGTTAAAAACTGGGCTCATCTCTTAGGGGAAGAAAGCTCACACAAAGAAAATGCAGTAGTGTCTTCCTCAAATGCGGTAAAGAAATATGAAGTACACCTGCAATGTTATGTCTCTTATTACGCTAATTTCTGATGCTAATTCTAATGCTAGAAAGCAGTTCTAAATTATGTCTATGAACATTCTGTATGGTTGGAACTGAGCACTGAAGATGAAAAGCAGGTAGGAACGGTAGCATAGCATGAAAAAAAGGGATTGAATTCTTCCTGTTACTGCTATCATTTGTACCGGTTTAAAAAAAAAATAAAAATTCCTGAAAGTTGTCATAATCTTTGGCTGAATCTGAGTACAACAAATATTAGACACATGTAAATATTTCTTAGTGTCTTTGTATGGCTGAGTGTTCAGGAATTATATTCAGAAATAAATTACCTCAGAAAACCACCTTTATAAGCCATTCAACAACAACAAAAAAATAAAATCCCATGGGGAAATCCTTTGGTCTGGATTGTTTCCCAGTATACTCCTCTAACTTTTCCATTATACAGTAATCCCCACTTTATAGGCTACCATCCAAGAAGGCTTTGGAAAAAGGTCAATTCCTGACAGACACAAAAATCTGCTCTAATAACATATCTTTATGCCAGATAAACTTGGTCTAGTGGAGATTTTCAGAAGTACATAAGTGATTTAAAGGGATAAATTGCACCGCAAATCAGTGGGACTTTCTCTGTGACTTCGAGCTTTGACATGTGGGAGCTCTGAAGCAGAGTGGGTACATCTGCTGAACAAATGCCAAAGAGCCTCCAAATTCTTAGGAGGCTCAAAGGTGGGCTTTCCACAGCAGCCAGAGAAAACGGGTATCAGAAGCTGGTAGCCAGTGGAAGGTTGTAGCTGATTTTAATACGGTAGCTGTGGTATACTTTTTTCCTTAAAATTGGAAGGATACACGCCAAGGATTGATAGCCCTTAATTAATCTTCACAAATTTAAGCATAAAATTGAATATAGCCCTGTTTTAGTACCTGCTCATTCCGTTATTATAAAGGGAATCATGCATTTTTAATACTACTCGCTCCCTCAAGATCAGAGTGGAAAAAATAAGTGCTGCAGATATTGAAATACTTCTATACCTGTCCAAAATAAGGAAAAAGCAGTAGTAGCTTCAGTCTAGGAAATGGAACTGTACCAAAGAGATGAAAAACTGCTACTTTTGTAGCAAAAATTTTTTTCAGAGTTAGAGAGGGGCTTGCTTTAAACATGTATGCAGTTTGAAATCCATCTCTCTTAATTGGGAATGGTTCTGTAAGAACGTAGAAATACAGAGTATGGAGACTTCTACTACTTCTAGTATTTCTAAGACTTCTGTAGGTAAAACTTAAGTATCTGTTGGTTTAAAATTAAAAATGTAGCACTTCCTGTTCTTGACAGTATCTGGCATGGTTAAATTGTGTTGGACTACATATTTTGAAGAAAGATTGAAGTTGTCTTTATGAAGAGTAGTGCACTCTATGGCAGAGCAGCTTTGGGGTCTGGTGGTGTTCACAGTCTTTAATACAAGGTTTTCTAAACAGCAGATTCAGTTAAAGAGCTTAATTTGAATGATATATTTGCTACAGATGTTCATTCTGGTATATGGGAAAGAAGGAGCATTATTAAAAAGCCACATTGTGCCTACAGTCAGATAATCTGAGACAATCTAGTTTAGCTATTTTTCCTGTCAAAAAGCACAGTTGCTCTGTGTGAACTCAAGTGTTGTTTGCTTTGAAGTATATCTGCATTATAACAAGTACTCTCTCAGTTTCTCAGGAACCATGGGAACAGCAAGATTTATTTTATCGCTGAAGTCTTATCAACACAAATTTAGAAGATCTCTGTGTTCCTTTCAGGACAGGTGTAGTCAGCACAGTGTCAAAACTGGCAGCTAAAATTTTGAAAATTGGATAAACAACTGGGAAGTGGGAGACTCCTTTTCCGGTGGAACTGCACCTCACCATCTGCACTAAAACCCCTTTAAAAATACAACTAAAACTCTTAAATCACTTAAGAACTTCTGAGAATTGTTGTGTATATCCCTAAGAAATTACGTTTATTTTTATGTCCTATAATTCTAACACTATTGAATTCTGCATGCATGGGAAGCAGACCAGTGAGTCTTAATTTTTCATTTGAGTTTGCCAAGATCATTTTGGTTGTCTTGAAATGTTTTGGTTTGTTTAGAAAATCTATCCTGTGAAAAAGGATGTATTCTAATCTAAAAAAATAAAGCAAAGAAACACATTTTAATGGAATGCGATTTTTATATTAACACTTGATTTTCCATTGTTCTAACTTGTATCACAAAACACGTTGTTATTTTTAATCATTTATAGAATACCCAAAGGATAAGTAGTTCTCAGTCTACACAGCCTCTTGCTACCCCTGTGGTGTCTGTGACAACTCCAAGCTTGCCTCCGCAGGGATTGGTGTATTCGGCCATGCCCACTGCCTACAACACTGGTAAGCATTGTTTTTAATAAATGGCTTGATTTGTCAGATGTACAAGGCTTTTGTGATTCATAAGCCTAGAAAATTTGCATTTCTAGTGACACTTCACTTTATTTTCCTATTCAGTTCAAGTGAAGGCTCTTATTCATCAAAAATGAGCCTTTAGCTTGTAAAATGTGTAAATGTTGAGACTTACATCAGGAAGAAGCTTTCAGTCAGATTGCACACAGCCAAATACAGGGACGCACTAAAATACTTTGCATACAGCAGTAGCATTGAAGCTATCCATCTGAGAACTGAAATGCCTCACACTTCAGCAATAGTTGATACTTCAGAGCGTACAGTCCCTTTTGTTCTGCTCTGCTCAGTTCCAACAGCAGGAGGGAATTGGATTCTACCGGTTTCACTTTACAGAAAGGCGCAGATAGTGCCTTCTCCTCTTCAGTAGTTTTATGGAGAGTGAGGTGGGGACTCGTGGGGAAGGCATTGCCAGCTTTTCACCAATGCCCTATTATCTGAAGGACCTTAAAACTACTTTTTATCCAAGATGGGTGTGATGCAAGGAATTTGGAAGTATGTGATAATTGGTTTGCCAATTTGGAAAGTAGTTCAAGATGCGGTGCCTTCTACTTTGACTCCATACCAATAGAGATAATTATGACTTCAGTCTCAAGGTTCTTTATTTGTTACAGACCCTGTATGCAATCAGTGAAGGAAATTTTATAATCATTTCCTTGAAAGGCTGCAGCCTTGATGGCGTCAGGTTGATTACCATTGATCTGTGATGCATAGTTTAATTTTCGAGCGCACCTGTAGAAAAACTACATTGCAGATAACTGTCAATAAACTTTGTACGTCAGAGTTAAAATAGCTATTGGTTAAAACTAAAAGGGAAAACAAAGGAAATACTTCCCCACTTTGTCCTTTTTAGAGGAAGACATTAAAACGTAAGTGCTGTAATTTGTTAAAATGGGAATTTCTGAACTGGGGACCACTGTGTTGGCAATGTTTAAGTCTATTTGATAGACTTTCAAATTCTAAAAAAATAAAAAAAATCTTGCTCTTTTTCTGCAATGATAGCTCTTAGGAACTGAGCTACACTACAGAGTTTCCTTTTATAGCTGATCAGCTCTGGCTAGGCAGAAGGGCTTGAGAGTATTATTGTTGTCTTTCCATGAATCGAGGAATATCCACATCTCCAGTAGAGGAGATTCCCCAGTAGCAGCTCTTCACTTGAGCTGTATCATCTTTGGCTGTGCACAAGTAGCTGGCAGGCATGAGACACTTGGGAAGCTGGGAGGCAGTGGAGGGTGTACTAGGAAGGAATAAATCACTTTTCCTTAAGGAGCCACTATATTGGGTTTACATGGCAAGGTTGTGGTAGTGGGGGGTGAGAAGGAGATGGGGATACACATGCTGCAGGGGTGGCTTCTCTAAGAATAGATCAGGAGCTGCCCCAGTGTCAGACTGAGCGCTTTCCAGTTGGCTTCAAAACGTACCTGGCTGCTGCTTGAAGCTGAGCCCATCAGTAACGGTGGTGGCACCTCTGTGAAAATGTATTTCAGAAAGGGTAAGAAACACTGTGCTGCTCTGTTGTCAGTGACTGAATGTTCTTACTCTTGTGCAAAGGTCAGGACAAATGGAAAAAAAAAAACCAAAACCAACCTTCAGGGTTTGTAGAAAATGGCCAAAACCTAAGTGATACAAAGGTTTTGTAATTTTTTTCATTTTCTGCAAGGAGGGGCGCCATCAGGAGTCTATAATGTTGGAAGATGGAATAGAGCAGCCATCCATTCATAATAATTTTCTCCCCCAAAAAGACAGGATTTTATACATTTTTCTCTACTTTTTTTAGCTTTGAAACCCATGGTTTTTTTGAACTACAGTTTTTAATTTAGACTTGTAGCCATCTTCCAGCTAAACAACTCACATCTTTTTGTATTTGTGTCTTTTTGTGTTAATGTGGTCATTGCCTGACATTTACTGCCCTTCAGCCACTTTCTGTGCTGACTTGACTCACTGCCCCAGGCAGTTACTGGCTTGCCTGAGGCTTGTGTTTCAAAAGGAACTGTTTAGTCATCAGAACAGTAAATATTCATACTGCAGTAGCACCCAACCAAATTGCTGAATACTTAGGCAAATAATTGCTACCTGCAGGAGGGATAAAGTCTAAAGAAATGAATGAAGGAGAAGATGGGGTTGCAATAAGAGTTTAATGAGAGTTTAATTCGAATTACACTTGGTGACTTGTTTTGGATTATAAGTGTTAAGTATAAATTTGCTGGACATAGAGAACTTGGTTTGATACTTGCCACAAAGATCATAGAATCACAGACTGTTTTGGGTTGGAAGGGACTTTAAAGACCATCTAGTTCCCACCCCCTGCTATGGGCAGGGACACCCTCCACTAGACCAGGTTGTTTATATATTGCATTTAAGTAAAGAAATAGTTCTGGTCCCTGCTCAGAAGACCCACGTAGAGTTTTACCTGCCATCTAACAAATCCCTTCATTCTCATGCAATCTGATGCTGTTTCAGGAAGCAAGTGTTGTGTGCGTCCCTCATCCAGAATAACCTATGAGCTGATGTCTAAAACAAGCTAAAACATCAAAAAGATGAGAGGAGCCGTAATCTGAATCTCAGGAAGCAGCAAAGACAATTGACAGTGGTGTCCTACGCAATGGACAAGTGCTGTTATCACTGGGATATGATTTTAAAAACCAGCCCATTTCCTTTGATAATGCAATAATTTGTGAAAAGCTTTTAGCCTTTAGTGTTTTTCAAACGCTTTAAAATGGTTTCTATTAGATTGAGCCTTGCAGGGGATTTGCAAAAAGAAATTTGATGTTGAAACTAAATTGTCATCTGGCTATTCTGAGGGTAGTCACCACTTATGTAGCAATTTCAGTTTTGCAGTTCAAGGACTAAGATAAAGTTTAAATACTTACATTGTTTTTCTGGATTGATAGGGGTTTTTTTCAGGGCTGGAAGGGATAGATTCAGCTCTTCTATCTTTAATTAAAATGTTGGATATCAGTTTTGCACATATATACTATTTTATATAATTTGTTTTGCTGGAGAAGTATTCTTTCTGCAGATTACTGGAGGAAGGGCCAGAACGAATTGAGTTACTTGTTCTAAAACAGCCGAGGCATTGTTAAAAAATATTCAAAAACCACAGAGGTCAGTTAAATAGTAACTCATGCTTGAGCAGAGCATCTCTAGCCATAAATTATATTGCTGGCTTTAGGTCAGTTATTTTGCAGAGGCACAAACTCAAAGGTACCTTGTTGTTGGGGTCACAGCAGTAATGGTTTCCATCATACAGAAGACACTATCGTCTGTGTGGCTTTTCCTTCTTCTATCAAGTCACTCGTATAGAAATTGGTGTCCTGCTTTTACTGCTAGCAGATATATGATTATTTAGGGAAGTGATAATGCAGCTAATTGTGTAGTGGCATATGTATTCTTTGGAAAAGTATCTCCTCAAACCGCTGTCACCAGACACAATCTGTCTAAAGTACCGGAAGTTAATTGTCCATTATCTTAAAAGCTGTAATTGTAAAGAAAAAAAAAATACTTGGAACCTGAATTCCTATATACATTTCTTCAGGTCTGCTCTTTCAGAAATCCCATTGGCACAGAATAGCACATCCATCTCAAGGGTTTATATTCACTACGCTTGCAGGTTGTCATAGTTCTGGCTGCTTTGAAGGTTGACTGCATGTCGTAAGTCATTGGAGGGCTGTATTTATTTTCTCTTTAGTTTTTATTTTAGTCTTGCAAAAGGGCTTTGGTTTGATCAGCTTGGGAAAGTTCTTTCTGAGTCTATGCAGAAATACTTGTGAGGGTTTTTCAGAGTTCCAATAAAAATGTCAACTGAGAAGAAACGAAACAAACAAAAAAGGCAGCTTAAGCACCTTCACCTCCTGGGATGCAGCTGGGATTCCCGAGGTCTTCAGGAAGATTCTTGCACTGATGCATCTGCATCTCCAAAAAGCACAATACCCTGTTGGCACTGGCTCTCCTTCCTTTGTAGGTTTTTTTCCTCGAAGTTATCCACAGTGAACAAGTTGGTGGATGGGAATAAGGAGATTTTTCAAGAAAGCTTATCTCGAGAGATAAATCATAATGGTGCTGTCATTTTAGGACAATACAAAAAAAAAAAACAACCAAACCCAAAAAACCAAAACCCAAACCAAAGCAAAACACAAACCCTACTTTAGCAAAATTTTTGGTTCTTCTGCTGGCAGTTATATAAGTTTGGCTGCTAGCATTTTGTCACATTCTCAAGAGACTAGAAATTATTTTAAGGAAGCTATATTACAAAATAATTAAAAGCAGACAAGTTTTTGCGGCTTTGTTTTAAAACCCGAAAGAAAAGCATGAGTGATAATGATGAAGTGAAAATAACTTCACCTCTGTGAATGAAGTGAGAATGGTCTAAGCATTGTAGCCCAGCCAAAAGTAACAGCCAGTCATTGACTGTTGATTAGGAATATATTGTATTTTCTATTACCCATTTAAGTTGTATTTCTAAATAATTACATTTTTTGTTCTAAACCCAAAAATGTTTGTGATACAGAGATGATAGTTTAATCAGACATAAAGTAAGGAGTGAAGCTATTGTGTGGCGAGGGGGAGTGTGATGCATTAGCGTAGGACTGCACAAGTGGAGTGGACGGAGGGGGCAGGAAGGCTCCCGGTTGCAGTGACTGGTCATCTCATCCCTCTGCCCCCTGCCCAGGCTGCAGCTGCATGGGCACCAGTCCCTGCCCTTCAAGAGTCCTTTGCCTGCCCTGGCAGCCAGGACGAGCAGCCAGCGGTGTTCATTGGTTGGTTTTGGATATAGGTTGTAGGACGATGAACTATGTTGGAACATGAGCTAGCTAAATGGTATCTGTGTCTTGTCTGACTAACTGCTGCCTCCCATCTGGGAACCGAACCAGAGTCAAGATGTCTGTAGTAAATTCAGAGCAAGAAACACCATTCCTTTCTAATGACTTGTATGAATTCTTCCCTCTTTGTTTTGTTTTGAAATTTCCATTTCATATGGAAAGAAGACTAAAATCTTCAAAAAAGTCGAAGAGCAACATGTAAGAATTGAAAGCAGAAATGCAAAAAAATTTGTCATTTGGAGGCTCATGTCCTGTTAAGCTCCTGGTGATGTTAGGAGGACTGCTCCCAGACATCAGTTTTTTTGCATTTGGACTCCTTTGGGTCACTTGCCTTTATTTGTTTTGGGCAGAAAGCCTTTGTATTTGTATTTATATATGCCTGTGTGTGTATATATATATATATATAAAAAAAAAAATCTGTAAACTACTTGTTTATTTGTTTTTTCCCTCTTAGATTACTCCTTGACCAGTGCAGACCTGTCTGCCTTGCAGGGGTTCAACTCCCCAGGAATGCTGTCCTTGGGGCAGGTATCTGCCTGGCAACAGCACCATCTCGGTCCAGCAGCCCTCAGCTCTCTCGTGTAAGTACATCTGGTAACGTTACGGTACCGCTTCTCCTCCTCAGACCGAATAATCTGCGCTGGGGAATATTTAGCACATGACCATTTTAATTTCTTGTCTGCTGGTGATGGCGCATTGCCTGTCAAGTGTGCTCCTTGGCCTCAGAAGCATTCATGTTTCATGTTTGTCCCTTCTGTCAGGTCAGTGTGTGAGCTGACAAGCTGCATCCCTGCAGGCCCAGCTTCTTACAAAGGAGTCACCTGCGTGGTGAACTTCAATGTTTGGAAATATTTCTGTTTGGTTTAACTTCTTAACTGTGTTCGGACCTGCTTTTTTCAACTTTGTTTCTTCAGTAACTTGCATTTGTTTACATACTCATGTTGAGGGTGTTGAAGCACGAGACCACTCCATCATACAGACACAGGAATTGTCACTTTCTTTTCCTTTTCCGTGTTTTCTTATTTCTGCCTTTTGGTTTTCTTTTTCCCAGTACTGGCAGCCAGCTATCTCAGGGTTCAAATTTATCCATTAATACCAACCAAAACATCAACATAAAATCTGAACCAATTTCACCTCCCCGGGACCGTGTAACTCCCTCTGGGTTCCCGCAGCAGCAGCCACAACCGCAGCAGCAGCAACAGCAGCAGCAGCAGCAGTCGCGACAGGAAATGGGTCGCTCTCCTGTTGACAGCCTGAGCAGCTCCAGCAGCTCCTACGACGGCAGCGATCGGGAAGACCCGCGAAGCGATTTCCATTCGCCAGTCGTGTTGGGAAGGCCTCCGAATTCCGAAGATAGAGAGAGTCCATCGGTAAAACGAATGAGGATGGACACATGGGTGACATAAACTTGCAGTGCTGCCACTTCAGTTTTGTGTTCTCAAAATGAACTGTCCTGACATATCTAAATTTATAAATAAGGACATGAAATAAGTATATTTATATGTATATACATACGTGCATATATATATCTCCACATGCATATATATGTGCTAGTGTGTGTAGCATACACAAAATCATCAGGCACTTACGACAAACTTCTTGTATAGCTGCAGCTGTCCCATGGTAAAACGTAACAGAACAATCCCGTAGGTATTGATCTAGTCTGGCACTTACCTGGACTTGTTGTTTTAATAATATATCCTGTTTTGCAAAGAAACATTGTACCCGCATTATAATCCTACCACACTAGATTACAGAAACCAAGAGGGCTCGCCTGTAGTAATGTCCCTGTGTGTTTTATTCAAGCTGTATGGTTACTTGTAGTTAAGAAATAATGCTTTGTAGCAGCAGAGCAGTAGAAAAGCAGGAAGAAGAAAGCAATACTGTACATAAAACGACCTTTATATTACCCAACCTGGCATGGGTCTCTATTGCAGAGGGTGCATGGAGAAGGGCTGATGCTATAAGAAAAAAAAAAAAAAACCACAAAAACCCTGTTTTGCACGTGCAAAAAAATAGTGTATTGGGTCAAAGAAGTGATTTTTTTTTTTAATGAGTGAAAGAGAGACATAGAGAACTCGCATGAAATATTCAGAAAATATTAGCCTAGAAAATAGAACATTAACAAAATAAAATTAATATATTAAGTTATAATTGGAATATGTTTGACAAATTTGTTTTTACGTTCATACCTTTGAAAAATATAGAAACGGATTTTAGCTCATGTATATTTTATATTAAAGAAAACAATACCCTAATGAATTGAAGACTATATATAAAGTTATATACAGTACTTTTGAACACATTCTGCTATGAATTATTTATATAAGCCAAAGCTGTATGTTGTAGCTTTTTTGTAGAGTATAGTTTTATCTTATTTTGACTTTCTAGTTTTTGCTTTCAAAGATGAAAAGGAAAAACTTGCAGGCGGAACCTTGGGGGAAAAATAAGCCATGAACACTTATGTAAATTTAAATTTGAGCCAAACTCTTTGTGTATATAGCATCCTAAATATATTATCACCTTTGGTGTAAGTACCTATGTATTGTACGTTCACCAGATTAAAAAGTATATTTTTGTGGATTGACGCCAACTTGAAAAAAGGCGAGGTCCTTATTAAGTAGAGTATTCACTGTTTAATATTTACTATTTTGTTAAATATACTGTACTTTCTTTGGATTTTAATTATTATTAATATTATTATCCAGATTTTTCAGAGGGTGTATAAAGGGGTTGTCCCCCTCACTGGTGGTGAATGTGTGCCGTTAAATTGTAATCTCTGTGCTGTATGGTTAAGCTTCATTATACATTTTATATATATGTATATAAATAGCAAAGTGGCAAAAAAAAAAATAATCCGGTGTTAAGTTCATCCTGCATAAATATAAAAAAATCTGTTACAACACATTTTAAGGCATCATGTTAAAGCTGCCTCTTCTGAGGAGGGAAAAAAGAGAAAAGAACAGTGGAAAAACTTGACCTGATTTCTCCTGATAGGGAAATAACACATATCAGATGAGCACAAAAGGTTTTTTAAGTTGGTAAGTGGTTTGGGATAAAACCTCAGCCTCCGAAGTAAATTTGCTGTTCCCCTCTGCTGCTCCCGTGACCCAGAGGGAGGAATCGTGTCCCAGCAGCTGGCTGGGGCAGGGCTGGTTTTGTACCCGGCTGGGTGAGGAGCCACCTCGCACAGTCTGGCTGTTGTGGCAAGGACAGGGAAGGCACTGCCGCCTCTCCTGGCAACTTCTCCCATCTGAGGGGGCAGAGCTGGGTTTGAGCAGCAGAAAGTCTCAGGAGCCAAAAGCCTGATGTACTGGTTTGTACAGGCCTGTTTTGGTGGAGCTGGTTTGGGTCAGGGAGCGTTCCTGCCTTGTGGAAATGGGGTCTCTTTCCGGGTCCTTGCTGTGCATCTCCCTCCCTTCATACTGGGAACCGAATTTCATTACTGCTGGTAGTTCTAGTTCTGGGTGAGAAACTACAGTGCTGTTCTGTCATCCAAACTCCCATAATGTCATCCCTGATGTTTATTAAATTTGTGCTTGGGCTTTAATTTTATTTAATTTTAAAAAAATCATTTACTTGATACTGTAAGAAGTGTGAGAAATGGAAATCCAGCGGGGACAGCAACCTCCTGGCTGCTTGCTTTCATGTGTGATTCAAGAACAAAGCCAGTACATATGGCTCCCCAAAATACGCTCTTGTTGTCATGGTAACTTCAACAACTGTAGGGGTTTCAGTTCCTTTCAGCCACTTACCTTTGGAACAAATTCCTCTCCAGTTACTGCAGGTAGTTACCGGTTTATGGAAGCATAGAGGAAAATGAGACTCATTCTAACAGCACCTCTGTTCCCAAAGTGACTGAATTCACTTACCGCTTCAGAGAACCTTTTAATGCTCTGAAAAGTTATGTGATTTTTTTCATTATTTATGCACATATATGAACTTTGCTGTACATCTGAGTGGGAGTTCTGCATTCACATTTACTGTCTATTTTCTTGTGTGCCTTATAAGATGGCTTTGCTGACTGTATCTCAATAGTCTTTATTTCTATGCAGGTTTTTAAACAGTACTATTACTGTTTTCTTAAAGAAAAAAAGCTACATAAGGGTTAGAGTTTGTATTGAAATTGCACCAATGTATTAAAAAACCCCCAGATAATCAGCTCTGAAGAGCTGCTACTGGGACTGTTCACGTGTTGCCCCAGACCCTCCACCAGACTCGGCAGAACAAGTCTTTCACAGACCTCCCGCGGTAGGGGAGGATCTCATGCCGTTGAATAAACGGGAATCCTGATTTTTAGTAACAAGTAACTGACTTTGGAACATACTTTTTTAGGAATTGTAAAAATGTTTTATAAAAAAAGACGACATAGCACAGGTATTTCAACAGGTAAAAAATACTTTTTTAAATTAACTATACTGAATGAAGTTGCAAGTGGATCCAATCCTAGTCTGAACCCATTCAAGTCTGAATGATTTGAGATTTTTATCTGCTCTTGTGACAAATCACCTCTCCATCTTCGAGCTCTCACTGTAGTGTTTAAAAATACATGTTATCAGGGATTCGTCAGAGAAAAATGCTTTAGCCTTTCCTTTCACTTAAAGGACACTAATGCATCAGAAACTTGCGAATTACTGTGCGCACAAGAAATACATAGTAAATAAGGAACAAAATAACTCCTAACAATTGATCATGGAAGAAGTTAAATTAGAATGTGAAAGAAAGACTTAACAAATGTAAACGTTTAAATCTTAGTAGAAACTTTCTTCACTTTGCTGTGCAAGAGAACACTGCTTTGCTATATTTAAAATGGCTTTTTTAAAAGAGATTTATGTATTTGGTAAATGTTTGTAGTCAACAGTTCACAAAGAAGCTGTTCACGGTTTAATGATGATAAGCCGTTTGGCGGCACAAGCTGGACTTTGTTGCCATCCTTGAGACGAATCTTTTAAGAAAAAAATAAGTTAATCTCAATTTTTTTCCCTGAATGTGTTGTTTTTTCTTCAATATACAATAAATATTCTAGTGAACTTTTTATCAAATGGTTAAGAAAATGCTAGAGGTTGTTGTAAAATATTTGTATCCTGCATTCACTAAAGTAAAGATACTGGCTTTTACTGTGTACTCCAGCCTCTCTCGTGTTTGCAGAGCACGTCTGGCACATCTTTGTCCCTCTCCAGGTATCCCAAATACTCTTCAGGTTCAGTCTTGAAGTGCTGGTTTTAAACGGCAGCAGTGCTCCCTCAACCACGGTGGGTTTGGGGGATACACACATTAGTACGCTCACATTAAGAACCTATTCCAAAGCGCTTACAGGCACTGGTAAAAGCCCCTGGGGGAGGCTGGGAGCGGTGGTGCGCAGGCTGGGAGGGGTGGTGCGCAGGCTGGCCTTTCCAGGTTCCTGCTGCTGTTGCTCCCGTGGGCCCGTTGTTGCTGTGGGTGCTGATGGGAGCTGAGGCTGTGGGCGGTTGCACCGTGCAGCGCTGCCTTGGTGGCCGCGGTTCTGCATTGTGAAACCAGCATGAAGGAAACGGCACCACCCCCATGCTCAGGGCAGCTGTGAAACAAATGTCTTCTGTGTGAGAAAACCTGGCAGAGAAGCATTCTGAGTTATATTCCTCGTGTCAGGTAGAGATGGGGCATAGGCACTCACCCAGCTGTGCACAGCATCTCCAGTTGTGGGGACAGAAAAAAAAAAAAGGCACAAGCCGCCTGGGGTGGGTGCTACCCCTTGTGCTTTTAGTTTATTTTATTTAAAAATGTAATAATCCCCCCTAGAACAAAGAGATACATTTCCTTCACAGAAGAAAAATATAAGATTTTGTTCAGTATAAGATAGAGTCCTTGTCTATAAAATTAGGTTCCCTCAGGCCTTCCTGAGCACTGTATTTTGACGGTTGCAGGAAAGGCAGATTATAACATCACCCCGTTCTGCTTACTTGGCGTGGTGCTCCTCACGTTGCTGGAGAAGCCTCAATCCTGTTTCCCCTCCTGCCACACAGATGCTACGGATCTGCTCTTCCTTGGGCCAGGAAGAGATTGCCTCTGTACCACAGCAGCCTGCACCAGGGCTCTTTGCTCATGGAGCTGTAAGCAACAAAAAAAATCCAGAAACCAAACCTGCCCCTCACTGCTCCAAGGTAGTGCTGGCGTGGCCTGGTGAAAGATGCTGCCCTTGCTCATGCCCCAGCAGGTCTTGGTGGCCGCAGGTCTCTTGACGGGCTGCCGTCCTCTGCCCCAATGCTGCCTGCACGGCGAGAAGGATCCTGCACCTTTTTCTGTAGGCAACTGGGGCAGGAGGGGCCAGCACAGGGCGGGGGCGGACACACATCAACAGCTTTATCCACCAGCTCTGCCCTTGCCCTCAGGAATGACGGCAGGAGACGAGCCAAGCCCCGTGCAAATAGCCCAGGAAAAGGCTGGGACCTTACTGAAACAGAGCTGGCTTCATCTGGCTGCTACTTACACTGTGCATTAACCCATCCCCGGTCAGGTTTCACACAACTGTGCTGCAAAAAAAAATACCTTAGTGTTTGGGTCTAGGGGAGCATTTACCTCTGCCCATAGTCCCTGAATTAAATTTCTGAGGCAAATTCTTCCCTGCAGCAAAGTTCCCCAAAGCCTCATTCTTCTGCTCACCTCTAACGTAGTGTTTACTGACTCAGCCTACACAGCACAGACCTCAGGCTCACCAACATCTCAGGACACCACCAGCCTCCAAAGCTTCACTGGCCTGTCCTACGCACTCTGAAATTGTTAATGCAGATGTCAGTTTTCAGCAATGTTTAACATGCAACAGCTTAATCATCCCCATCCTGTAAAGGATTTGCACCTCTTTCTGTGACTGTCTAAGGTAATGCAGGGCTGCTGTCCTGGACCCTGCAAATTAAATGCAACTTAGCAATGCTTTCTCACGTGATGACTACAAACAAGGGAACTCAAGTCCATGACTGCAATTGGGTGTTTGAGATGTACCATTATCGATTATTATTTTCTTTAAAAATTAATATGGGCTAGACCTGCCCTGAACAAATGAGCCTCTGAGGCGCACATACTACGTACCACAGGCCTCACACTATTCTCACACCCTCCTCCATGACCTGTGGTCATGCTGAAGTACCGGCTCTGGGTGAGCACTACCCTGGTGAAAGCGCAGAGCCTGCAATGAGCTCTGCCTGCAGAAACTCTGGATGTCAAGAGAAGTCTCTGAAGGGTTTCATCGCGAGGCAGAGGTCTGGGCTCACTCTTCCCAGGACTATGGTTGAACCAGCTTAAGCTTGAACACTTGCCCTAAAGGATGAAAAGGCGTAAGTGTCCTTGTGCCGTGGCGCACACAGTTTCTAACACACTAGTCATCATTTTAGGGTTAGGTATGCCAATACTGCCATGGTCTGTGAGAGCTAAAAATGATAGTTCAGAGAAAAAAAAAAAAGGTCCCTGCTTCTCCTGTAAGCAAAAGGTGTTTTCTTAAAATACAAACACCTCCCCCCCCAACTTTCCCATCACATTAATACCGCACTGTACCTCAGCAGCAAAGGATTTGCTGCTTAGATAAGGCATTAAGAAATACCTGAAGCAATCAAGATGAGTAAATTGCTACAAACTACTTTCCCTCAACAGAGTTCACGACTGTTAAGCCAAGCTGCCTGATGATCTTTGTAAGCAACAAAGCGTCCTTATTCTTCCATTAAAAAAAAAAAAAAATCACATCACCTCACTTTCACTCAAGTTCAGGATTACAACATCAGCTACTTCTTAAAAAAATAAAAATAATCTGTATTGTTATCCCCCTGAATGCACTGAACTCACAGTCACTGGCATATGGGCTTCCATGCTGGGAGCAGAGGCTGTGTTTGGCTGCCTCCCCCCCACCTTAGGATTTCTTTTCTACAACTGAGCTTTGTGATAATTTCCCTTCCAATCCATCTGTTGAAATATTTGAGGTTAGTGTTGTGTTGGAGGTATGGGCCACCAGGCCTTGTGTTTTAAAATAGATGATATAAAATACTGGCAGGACAATTCCTATCAGGAGCATAATAAAAACTGCATTCCACCACTGGATTCCACAGTCCGCACCATTACTGGTCTTTGGCTTC